AGTGGTTTCTCTTCAGTTCTTAGTAAAAACAACCTCTTGCCGGTCAAGTATGGATGGTGACATCTGTGTCTTTTTGTTGTTATTACTATGTTTTAATTCTTTTCATTTCAATTTATTAGTTTCGTTTTTAAACACTACTCAAAATCCTCTAGTAAATATACCTCCTTCTATTCGTTAATTGCCCGAACCCAACAAATAAAATTTTATGGACCTCATCATTGTACCTCTAATACAATTGAATTTAAATATAGCCCGCATTGAAATATTTATACGATGCGTGATATCATCACTTGGGCATTGTTTTTATTGCGTTTTTATTGCCACTGGTAAGGTTTACAATATCTTAATTTAGTTCAATGCGTCTTGTATACTCGGGAGTTATACGGTTTGGAAAATAATAAATCAATTGAAGATATTTTTAGGACGTCCCATTCAGACGCCGGGAACAAGTATCAATTTCTCTTTCAGTGGCAATAATAATATAAATGAGAAATAAATCTGACAAGGTCTTTAAGCGAATAAAAGTGTTTTGTTATATAGGTCGACTTTCTTAACTGTAATTTTTTATCAGCTCTGATTTCTCCTGCAGTCTTTAGAAGAGGCAGAATGTTGCCAGAGGAAATTCTCTGAAATTGTGGCCATCTTCTGCATTTAACATGACTAACTATTGAATAAAATATAAATAAAAAAAAATTGTTGTATGACTTCTAATCCTGCACTTCTAGACTAATGTAAACTTGTATCTTTAATCATATAGATCGACTGATTGTGGGGTATAGTATCCCACTTGGCATGTTCAGGTCAGACGATCTTGCATGCCATGAATGCTGCTGCATCAGCGTTTCAAAAAGTCTCTTATAGCCGAATCTGCATTTCGTGAAAGAGGTTCTTAATTCGTTCAAGAGTTTTGATTGGGATTTCTAAACTTCGCAGCTGTAGGTGGTTAGTGAATGTTCTTTAATAAATGGATGTCATGGGTGATGAAGTTGTAGTTAAGAAAATTAAGAGGAATATCAACTATTTCATTTAAAATATAACGTAGCCCCTGAAAAACTTCAACAAGTAAGATACTGATTAAAGCCAAGTCCATAATAAGGCCCCACGACCTCATTTTTGATATTTTCGTTTAATCTTTGTCAACGGACAGAGACAAAAAAAATTAAAAAATATATTATCGTGTCTTGACATTGATTTGTTGTGAATCTAATGGGTGTTTTTTTTTATGTATAGAACTTTAAGTTGGCATAACTGTTCAAGATGGCGACCGATTTAACATCTGTCAAGTGATTTATTCTCAGTTTGGTTTGGCAATTCATCATGAATAGACTCACGCCTGAACAACGCTTGCAAATAGTGCAATTTTATTTCAAAAATAATGGTTCTGCGCGGAATAGGTATCGCGCACTACGTCCATTTTATCCTCGACAAAATCGTCCATCAGAGCAGTTAATTCGATTAACCATCGGACGTTTTCGCTCCGTGTTTACTCTTATTGATAACTCGCATCCCCAGAGACGCCGTACGGTGCGTACAGAAGAAGCTATTGCTGCTGTGGAGCGTAGCATTGAGGAAGACCCGAATGAGTCCATCCGCCATCGAACACAGGAATTGGATCTGTGTGCATCCACTTTATGGAAGGATCTTGACTTACGTGCTTACAAAGTCCAACTCGTGCAAGAATTGAAGCCAAACAATCATCAAGTAAGGCGTAGATTCGTCGAATGGGCCTAAAACGAAATTGCCGTTGTTCCCGATTTTCATAAGCTAATTTTGTTTAGCGATGAAGCGCACTTCTGGTCGAATGGCTACCTCAACAAAAAAAACTGCCGCATTTGGAGCGAAGCTAATCCTCAAGTGTATGTCAAAACACCGTTACAACCAGAAAAACTGATTGTTTGGTGCGCTTTATGGGCTGGCGGAATCACTGGTCCGTACTTCTTCAAAAACGATAATGGCCAGAACGTCACAGTCAATGGTGATCGGAATTGAATAACCATGATGTCCAGGAGATGTGGTTTCATCAAGACGGCGTAACATGTCACACAGCTCGTGCCACAATCGATTTATTGAAAGACACGTTTGGTGACCGCCTAATTTCACGTTTTGGACCTGTGAATTGGCCTCCAAGATCTTGTGATTTAACACTGCTAGACTACTTTCTGTGGGGCTATGTAAAGTCATTGGTCTATGCGGATAAGCCATAAACGCTTGACCGTTTGGAAGACAACATTCGCCGTGTTATTGCCGATATACGGCTACAAATGTTGGAAAAAGTCATCGAAAATTGGACGTCCCGATTGGATTACATCCGCTCCAGCCGTGGCGGTCATATGCCAGAAATCATAATTAAAATGTAATGCCACAAGATTACCTTTTGGACAAATAAAATTCATGTCAATCGAATAATCCATCGTTGTTTTATTGCAACTTAAATTTCTATACATCGAAAAAAAGCACCCCTTATAAGCTTTTGCAAGATGCCGCGAACATATAATCAGCAATCACAACTAAGTTTTGAATATTTTGGCTTGTTTTCAATTGGAAAGAAATCAAATTAAATCCTTCCGCAAATCGATAATGTAATTGAGCGAGCTTCAATTGCAACACAACTCAGGAATGCAGCAATCATAAATATTAAGAAAACAAATAGCGTTAAATCCCTATTTTTACATTTTTTAATTACAGATTACTTAAGAACAAAATAATACGAAAAATGTTAAAAAACTAAAAGAGACAAATGAATATTTGGATCTTTCCACTAGCTCGCTAGGAAAATACTTAAAACGTATTGGTTTTTAAGTGGAAGAAATCAAATACTTGACGGATTTACCTCACATTGTCCACAAGAGGGAATATATCGAAAATCAAAATGTGTTTATTGACGAGCCTTGTGTTTTTAGTAAAGGGTCGTTTAGAAACAGCTGGCAGGATAACACTATGTCTACAAGTCCTAAAAACGGTGGCGATGATAATCGATATATTGTGCATCAAAGGAAGGATTTTTTAAATCGGCCGATTTAATATTTGAAAGTGGACTAAAAAGCACACATTATATTATTATATTATATTGGTTTATAGAATGGAGTTTGGTAGTGACGATTACAGCTGAACCATTGTTAATTTTAAATGAAATTTTGCATAGTGTTTATTGGCCTTCTCATGATATGGGTTTCAAATAATAATAATAATACGATTTATTGGCATTAAGCTCTACGCTAGAAGCTGAAGATATATCCAATAGAAAATTTAGTCCTCGTTAATCTTTGTAGCTGCATCAAATACTTCATGTGCTTGAGAAGAGTAGATGTATGCCGACAGGAGCAGAGGTCCCAAGATTGAGCCTTTAGGTATACCCTAACTCACATACATATTGTTGGATATGCTATACTCGTGACTAACATGTCTCGATTTTCTGATTTACATAAAGGGACTGTTCGAAATAATCAACAGTATCAAAAATAAGAGAGAATAAGACCAGTTACTTTATTTGGATCAGTCTGACAAATTAAGTCATCAGTTGTAAGATTTACAAGAACGATCCTTTAACAAGACTTCGATCATTTGCACATGCATATTTTTTCAAGAATCTTGGTTTGAGGAGATAAGTACTAATTCTGGTCTGAAATATTCCTAAGAATTGGGAAATATTGAATCTAATCGAATATTTATATGTTGCAATAATAATCATTTTTAAGATCCAGCGGCTGTTGTTTTTGTAGAAGCCAAACATTTTCACTTACTGCTCTCTTGAGTCGAAATATCCAAACTATTTACCATGTACTTAAGTAATAGAAATACTGGATAACCTATACCTTTCTGGAATGACGTCAGTTTTCGTTATTTTGGTTTAATCTATATCAAATGACGAAACATGTTTGATAAAAATCATTGTCGTTTCTTCATATCATCCAATACCGGATGCGTTTATGAATTTGTGTCTTTTTATCAATTTTACACAGTACTGAAAGAACAAAATACAGGATATACTGCACGTATGCGAAAAATGAATATCTCAAAGAGGCAAATGACCAGAGAATCAACTTCTTGAGGGAATATATCAAAAATTAAAATTTAGGAGGAGATGCTTATACCATCGCATTTATTGATTATTAATAAAGCCGGCAGGATAACACTATGTCTACAAGTTCTAAAAAAGCTAGCGAAGGTCATCGATATATTGTGGTTCACGCTGGATCAAAGGAAGGATTAATTAACGAGTCCAATTTAATATTTAAAAGTGGACCAAAAAGCGAAAATTGTCATTGTCATGTCATTCCGGAGTTTTAGAAGATATTCAAAGAAAATCACGAACAAAGCAGCTACATCACATCCGTTAACTTATTCTGAGAAAATACCTATAATGGCGTCGTATTTGAAATGATTTGTATATAGCATTCAGGAACATTTGGATTAAAGTGATGATGATGATATTGGGACACGTGGAAACAATATGTTTTATAAATAACCTGAAAATAATCATCGTTTCGACAGTTAAATGAACGAATACAAATTTTACAGCCATTTCTTACTCGCACACAAGTCTAAAAAGTGACACTCTTTTGCGATTCTTCAAAATCACTGCCCATCAATCGTCTTACCAAAAATTCATTAAAAATCATGAAACTTGCATGTTTGCACTGTTTTCTTTTTATATATCTTATCGGTGACCCTGTCGATAGGGCTTATAAATATACGGGAAAATTACTCTTTTCTTCAATTTTTTGTTTTGCAGACAGAATAACCTGGCCTATTTATTTCATTTATTTTTAACGGAAACTTACAACCTCGCATTTCAGTTGAATTTAAATGAAACTACCAAAATTGACTGTTTAACTTAGGTGACTTTTGAAGCTGTAACAACTTCCTTTCGATGTTGGTGCAAGTGGTAATATGAAAAAAGACTTCGTTCAATACTAAATTAAGTGTGCGGGCCCCCAGGTGGCGTTTTGATCATGTTTTATATTGTTATGTGGCGTTTATCTAATAACAAACCCTTTTAGGTATGGAATGTGTTTCGCGACACCTGTAGATTTTGGCGCGTGCTCGGCAAAAACCCGAGCAAACTCCGGCGATCGGGCAGCGAAAAGGAACCGGAAAGTCCATCGGACTCTGCTCGGATTTTGTGCAATTCCATTATTTCCCCAAGCAGTTTGATTCCATATGGTTGCAGACCAAGCCTATTAGGTAAGCCTCGAATGGTGAATCACTAAAAAAAAATTCTTTTCTGAAACTTTCCCAACCTATCATCCAAATTCCCTGCAGTTTGCTTTAAAATATCAAGCGGTATTTTGTATTGACATAAGAATAACTAAGTAAGTAAGTAAAAAATGTGCTTCCTAAGAAAAAAAACTTGCTTTCGCAAAAAAAAAAAACAATAACAAGCACGTGAAATAAATTTAGGTTTGCGTTTAAAAAAACTTTCCAAAAATGAATTATAAAATTTAATGGGCTGAGGTCGGGTATGGTCTGTTCATAGATATAAAAAAGTTACCAATTGCTTTTGAATGGGATTATCCAAGGGTGGTCATTAACATTCTATACAGGAGATGCTCCCACCCAAATGTATGTATTCTATTGAGACTAAGGAAGTTATAAACAATGTTTATTTGACTCTCATTGAACGTGGTGGCAGCAAGCAAGCATCTTTAGAGGAAACGGCCACATTGACGAAAATTTCAACATCAACTGTATGGAAAATTGTGAATAATCCCTTTTCAGCGAGGAAACATGCTGCGGTGCTGACATTTTCTCGAGTGTAGATGAAAGTGATCAAGATATAATACGGCGTAAAATTTACCAGTTATACGAGGAACAAAGCGTGCCTATATTAGATATCTCAATTAGAAGGCTTGAAAAAGATGAAACCGGTGTTAAATGCGGCATAACTACCTTATGCAAGTGTATTCAGCACATGGGTTTTAGATTTAAAAAAAATTGACAAAAGGCAAGTTTTAATGGAATCATTTGGAATTCGGAAATGGCGACTGGAATATCTAGAAAAAATTAGGATTTGCAGAGAAAAACAAAGGCCAATTATTTACTTGGGTGAAACCTGGTTCGACACTTATGGTACCCCTGAAAAGGGTTGAGTTGACTCAACTGATAAGTGTAAAACAAACGCGTCATCGACAAGAGGTAAAAGAATAACTACTTTGCATGCTGGCTCTAAAGATGGTTGGATTCCAAATGGATTTTCTCTGACTACGAAAAATATTAAAGATTCTTCTCTGGATTACCATGAAGACAGTTCGAAAGTTGGTTTATAAACAAACTACTTCAAACATTCCTCCTAATAGCGTCATTGTAATGGACAATGCAAGTTGTCACAGTAACAGTTGACTAAAACCCCTTCCTCATGTGACACAAAACCAACAATCCAAAACTACATGTATAATAACGACATTTATTTTCACGAAGGTTATACCAGAAAGCAATTAATTGAGGTTTTACAAAACTTGAACCTACAAAAGGAATACGTCTGTCATAATTATGCAAAAAATCTAGGACGTACAGTTTTAAGGCCTTACCACTGTATATTTAATCCCATTGAACATGTTTGGCACCAACTGAAATCTGCCATTTGTCGTAACAATGTTTTTCCCCGTGTTAACTTCAATATCCTCAGACTTATAGACACCGAAGTTTTAAACATCCCTCCACAAAGTTGGGCAAATTCTGCTAAACATATAGAAAAAGCAGAACAATCGTATATCCATATTGCAAATAATATAGATCAAATAATAATTAGAACAGGCGATGATGCCTATAGTGATACTGATATAGTATGTGAAGTAATTTAAGTAGGTAATAAAAATAATTTGTAATTTTATAAGTAAATATTGTTTAGTATCTTTCCTAAAAACCCCAAATAATTAAATTCTAAGCAAAGTACGGACCTGTTCGGCCATATTTCATTCTTACAGCTTGCGCGGGTCTTTTCTTAATTCGTATCAGTTAGGCACTTTCTTATATCTATGAACAGACTTTACTTTGAGGACCACTGTATAGTTCCGGGTGTACCTGTCCAAATATTCGTCGAGCAGTTAACTCTTCTCACGGTGTATTTTTGTCACCTGAGGCTTCATTCTGATATCTTTTCAATTTTGTTGATAATGGATACTGGAAGTATATTTTACCATCGAACCAAAATTTAGGTATCTTAAACAGAGTCATACATAATACATAGCCGTATCTCCTAAAGGGCACATCTTTATTCACCATAGCGTCGATATTTTTAAATATCCTGCGTATTGTCTTATCATATATGTGTTATAATTTCAGTTGAATTGTAATGACAGTTTTTAAAAATCGTTCTTAAATTAAGGCCACACTAATTTGCATTCAATAGAAAGACGGATTTGGTGAACGAAACCAATGTAATATTTGCGCTACTGCAGGTAGTTTATTACAATAATAATTATTATAATAATTACACATGATTATAATTATAGAGATTGGTTGGCAATTGAGATATTAATTATTTTTAAGATCAAGGAACTTATAATAGTACAAAAATAAAAACAGATAAACCGCAATACATGCCTAAAAAAATTAACCACCAACATTAGAAATTACTTAAATGTTATTTTTCGCTGAGACTAGGATTTAGATCTAATACTCCGCTCAACACGATTTTTGGTTGAATTTAAATTTCAGTTTTGCTTACACTAAAAATAAGAATTCTTTTTTTAAATTAAAGTTTGCTTTTCTAGAAACTAGAGCAATTTTTTCTGTAAAAATCAAATTTTACTGTTTTTTATAGTTTTACATGAAGTTATGGTTTCAGTGACCTTTTCACAAAAGCCGCCAGTCAGATGCTACGAAGGGTATTCCAATTGTCTCAAACAATTCAGTCACGTTATTACAGTAACAAATGCTTTCTTCTTTTGTGAAAAAGCATGAAGAACTTTTATAACGCTCTCTTTGATCAGTTATTTTTACATCGTCTTCGAGAAAATTCCATTGTTTTAGTCGAGAACGTACAATTTTCCACTGTATTCTTAGATAGGTTCAAATCTCGTACCAAATCTTTAAATTCACTTGGACTGATAAAATGTGGCCCAAAAACATGGGATTTTAACATGAATTCAATCAGTGTTGGTTAGTGGTGTACCAGATTCTGTTGAACTTTGTGACGCTTAAACTTCAGAGCTATCTGAACGTGATGGCACAGGAAAATTTTCATCATGTGGTATCCGAACTGAGGTTGAAGGAGGAAGGAGGATGCTGTATTTTCACCATATCGACGCTTACTTGGATTAACGATGCAAGAATAACAGTCATGGACATGATCACTAGGTCCCCTCCAAAGCCTTCACTCTGAAAACTTCATACGTCGGTTTTATCCTCTTTACTAAGCTATAAATAACGTAGTTACGACTTTTGTGATTTAAATTTGGTTGATATTTTTGAAAATGTTAAATGTCAGTTTATTACCTTCTAAAGTATTTTTACAATTAATGCAGTCAAACTGTGGTACCCAATTTAAACCCTGGTTACTGATTTTTAGGTTAAAATATTCTTCATAGGCTACGCAAAATATCAAATTTGTTGACAAAGCAATTCTTTTACTCCTAGCTTTAATAAATTCACCACAAATAAAACAAAATGAATCAACATCATATTCTACATTGTCTTAAAGCCATTTTCTAACTGAACAATAAACACATAGAGCTGAGATAGACCAGTAACTACTAACTTTGATACTACATATAAATAAGAGCACAGTTTATTCTCAGTCTCTCAAGTTATCTTTGACTTATAAAATAAATTAAAGTATACCTATAAGAGTAAACTTTATGAACTAAAAATGGAAATTTCAACGTTTTTCGATGTTTAAGATCAGAAACCCGGTGATATCTGATGAAAACAACTCATTCGATAGGTCGCCGCTGGACCGAAGTAGAATTGGAAGAGGAAGACGAGTCCGAATTTAAAGGTAGCGCAACGTCCAGTCCGAGCGAGCCGGCCCCCTTCAGGGAAAGGGCATCCACCGACGGACATCTGCAGCAGAGACCGTGGAGGTGGAGATATAAACCAGGCGGTTCGGGAAATTCGGCCGAGACCGTTTACTTTCGGACCGAAAGGCGAATGAGCATATCCATGAGGGGAAATAACGCCAGCTATTGAAATAATGAGACTGAGCATAAACCAGGGATTCGTTTTAAACCTATGTCGTTTGGTGTTTCGAATTCTTCTTCTCGTTTCGAACCTACTGTATAGATTAATTTTTCAAAGAAACAGGCTATTGTAATACTTTTTATAAAACTTCTGGATGCCTCCTGCGTCGGTTTTTGTTTAGTAGAACTAGCTAATGTTTCACCAATCATCCTGTTGGCTTCTTCAGAGCTTGATTTAAACTGGCTCTCACTTTACTCTGCACCTGCTTTTATATTTTTTGAGGGGGGCATAAATTAGGGGCATAAACACCATTTCGGACGACGGATTCCCATATTGGTGACCGGTAGAGACCTGAGTCGCTGTTAAGATTCTTAGCTTGCTTTTATATTTCTATAGAAATATATGGGAATCAGTCATCCGAGACGCTGTTTATGTCCCTTATTTAGCTCCGCCCCCCCTCAAACAATATTAAAGCAGGCACGGAATAAAATGCGAGCCAGTTTCAGTCAAGCTCTGAAGAAGCTAACAGGATGATTGGCGAAACGTTAGCTAGTTCGACTCAACCAAAACCGACGCAGGAGGAATCCAGAAGTTTTATAAAAAGTATTACTGTGTAGATTATTCGGAGTTTGAGACCAAAGCAGTAAAAGCTCCTATTCTACAAGATTTCAATCAGTTTTCCACGACAAAAATCTTACAGGACCGACCTGTACACGGGTGTTAGAATTAAAATATTTTGAACCATGCCGTTTTGCTGATCCTAAGAATAATAAGTATGAACTTTGTGATCTTAAATAGCATATCTTTTTCTTTCTTGTCCAAAATATGAAGCTTTAATTTGCTAGTCATTTAAGCTTCTAGCAATGCCAAATTTTTGCCTGCTCTTTACCGTATTACATATTATGCTTTATCATTGTTTTTCAAAATAGAATGTTATTACAATTTCTGGCAGGTAATATAACTTACTTGGTTAGTTTTAATAACTACTTTTTATAAAAAGTAATTGTAGCAAATCAAAATATCACAAAAACATACAAAAAATCTCAACAAAAACTATAAAAAAGAGAGCTGTGTTAGTTTTTACTTTATCTTTGAATTCAACGATAGAGTATCAACAGTGAAGTTGTAGATAGTCTTTAACTCTCTTTTTAATAGATATGTTGACACTCAAAAGATTATACGAGTCAAAATGAAGACTGTGGTCGACAGACATCCTGAATCCATGACAAGGATAATTATGAATATCGGAATTTTTTGGTATACACGCACCATTTTTCTGACTATGAAGAAATGAAGAATAACCCCTCAGCACCGCTCCGTAACTTGCAATGAAGCATATACTATAATTAGGTACTTATCATCAATCAATCCTCTTAGTCATCTCAGAATGAACAGTCCACTGTTAAGTTTTGCTTTCAATTCACCAACATTTTCCGACCAATTTAATCTGTCATGGATAAGAAAAGCAAGTAGTTTAGCTGTTAGTTTTAAGCTGTTGTTTTCGAACCAATTGATTTCCAAATATTCAAGAGTAGCCCTATTCATAAAAAAATTTCCCAAAGCTTATGCCAGTGGCATCATCGCAATATAGTGTTGAAATGGAAGAATCGAAATACTAAGGTCATATATACGACAAATAGTAATGGCCCCTTGAGGCACTCCAAATCGTAGACTTTTTCAGATTAATGTCTCTCCTTGGAACTCAACACACTGTTCTCTACATGATAAATACATTGTCTGGGAAAACTCCAGTTCTAATGGATTCATTAAATAAGACAATTAAAGTTTATGATGATGTATGGTGGTATATCTAATTGTCATTTGGCAGACGTCAGTTTTGGATCATAATAGAGCAAACGTTTTTGAAAAAATAAAGTGTTTACTATTTTTGTGTGTCACGTACTACAAATTCCAAACTTTTCTGAACATATAAAAATAATTATATACTTCAATCATCGAGTGTAAGGAGTCCAATTTTCGATACTTTTGCTGGTTAATTCGATTATTAGTGGAAACGTCTCCTAAAAATTGTCGTGGGTGGATAAATTAAATGTGAAAATAACTCTATTCGGGCAACTCTTCCCATCTCACTTGTCTGTTTGTTAAAAGTTCCCTTTATCGTATTCACGTTCATTATTAAAAGTTCGGGAAAACAAAGGCAACGTTTTAAAATTCGGAAATGTTATATGTTATGTGTAAGTCTACAAATTCGTCGAAACTCATTGAAATATTGTCAAATTTCTATTATTTTATTAAATATATTGTGATTTGTGAGAACCGCAAGATAGTAGAACTTCATTATAAATAAAAAATAAATAAGGTTCAGGCTTTTTATACACAATTTTTCAAAGGTCCTTTTTTCAGTTTTTGAAAACATTAAAATAGACAAACAAACAATCAAATCGGACAGTACAGTGTGTCCCATTATTGATAGTTTTACGGCATTATGAAATGTCATAGCTAGCTTCGATTTTTAGATGCAGTGTTATTTGGCCATGCGTAGGCTTATCGAAAGGATGGAAACTTTTGTACTTACTTTGTTTTATCTTCTAATCATGTTAACTCAAGGTTCAATTATGATAAACTGGACATAGAAGATGTGTTTCATCAATGTGTATGTGCTATATGCAAGTTCATTTTTGTAGTAAATTATATAATTTATGTAATAAATTCTGTTTGTTACTCATTAAACAATAATTAAAATTAAGAGCTCAGAACAAGCGTAATCAGTTTCAGTAGGCAACCGGCTACGCCACTGGATCTTACCTCAAAACCCTATCTAGTTCTGACCGTTACCAAACTACCAAAGATATCTAAAATGTTGAAAATCATCCTGTGTCTAAAAGTCCAAGATGGGTATTAATTTCTGTGTCACCTTTAATTTAATATAAAGAGCTACGTCACGAATTCCGCAACACACTGGCTTTATTAATAAAGCAGATAGCAGGAGCTCATAAAATTTATTTAAAAAAAAATAGAAACTAAAACACTTTACTTTTAAAATTAAAATTTAAATTTAAAATTTAATTTTAATTCTATACTGGTCGACTTTACAGTACAAATATGTTTAATAACTGTGATAAAATTAAATAATAGAAATTTCTAGCTAGTTAGAACTGGATTTTAATTTCTGGAAAATGATCGCCATGCTTCTTGAACAATGTATTCTTCCAAATTCTTAAAAAATGTACTACCATTTTTTTTTTCGCTTATTTGGGCGAAATACTTTGCATTTTTATCTGACCACGCTGTACATCTCGATCTTGTTGCGCTATAATTACAGGTGACCTTAATCTTTCCTCTCTTTCCAAGTTCCTCCATTTGGCGAATGGGGAAATGACGACAACTGAAGTGAACTGCATAAACGAACACAAAACACACGATATATTATTAATCGAAGCTCCATTTGGTAAATTTCAAAACATGCCACAAAATTTGCAAAGTTGACTCCTTTAAAATCTATTTTGATAGTTAATGTCCAATTCCGCATCTCAATTTGTAGAAGCAGAAAAACTTGTCAAAAAAATGTGTTCAAACTCGCAACTGAATTACAAATAGGTAGCTTTTATACTTTAGCTTTCTAGTGGAAACCAGGTCACTATACGTGGTAGATACCTTATAGCTGATAAATAATATAGAGACCTGCCCATTCTCATAAGCCGACATGAAAAAATGATGAGACGGGTCATTGAATATGGGCATACGCGAGTCAGTTCAAAACTTACTTTCAACCAAGAAGGCCTGTCATATAAATTAAGCCTTTAACAAATCTTGGGGCGTTCAACAATCAACATGACCGCTGACAGTTCATCAATTTTTGTCAACAGTCTGTCAAAACATGCCCAAATTCTATTAAATTTGTATGGAGTGCGTTGTTTAATAATAAAATGGCAAGTGCAGTGCAGATGTTGCGTGTAAAATGCATGCACCTAAAGTCTATTGACCTGATGTGATTTTAGTAAAAGTGCTAAATTTGTCTATTAATTTTGCTCGAAGGAACAGATATTTGATTTCAGGTTAGGCTATCGGACCTGACCAAAGTGAGGTGATGCGGAAGTTTTAGTAGTATCAGATCTAAGGAATGCCCTATATTATTTTGATAGCTATATGGTATTCATACATGTTCCCACTGTATGTATATGCATGTTTCGTAAACGACTGTGTTTATATATCAGGATTAACATTGTATTTGTATATACGTAGAAAAATACAAAGATATAATATTTCGGGAATACTTCAACGCTTCGTGTTCGATTTGAAATTGTTCGGCAACTAGTCGTAGGACATAAGGAAATCTGTTTAATGTATATTGATGAGCGTATTTTTAAATTTTTTTCAGTTAGTCGGATCTAGTTGTTGTGGTCGCAAAAACATCTTTTTGGAAATTTTACTGTATTTAGGGTAATTCATTAACAATTGGACAAACGTCAATTAGGGATCAAATTACAATGCTTGTCCCCAATATGTCTTTAGAATCGAAAATTTGGTATTTTTGACAACCTAAATTTCGCAGCTAATATATTTAATTTAAATAGGTCCCTAAATTATGAAAAATACATTGTGTGATGTGTAAAAGATAAAATCATCTCCACCAGTATATAGCTTGATCCATCTTTGACTAGGCATTGGCTCAGAAAGTCCACAGTGATACGATTCATTTAAAAAAATTACATACATAAGTTTGTTTCTTCCCAAAACATAATAGTATTGAGGAAATGAGAGTTGCCGTGGGTACAAAACTAAATCTTTTATCTCTGTATATAGGTTTAGAAAAAGTTTACTTTTCCCATTAAAAAGAAATATAAATCACCTTGGAAAATTTTCAACCCGATTTGAAAATAAGACTGGAATACCCAAAGTCATTTCTAGAGGCAGAATGTAAAAGAGTAAATTACTTCACCATATTTTTTCGGAACCATTTATAGAGAATAGTCTTGTCAGCTTATTCTAGACTCTCCTTTACTATCAAAGGCTCGTCCAAAAATACTGGATTGAATATGATGGAATCAATCTGGTTTTTGATGTATTTTCTCAAAAATGTAAGTCGTATATGGTTATTTCATCAGATATTTCCGGCTTTAAATACTGCA